CCGCACGGTACGACCACGTCCAGGTCCAGGAAATAGTCGACCTTCTGCGCGAGCAGGTGCAGAGCCATGGAATGCGCCTTCGACGGGGTAGCTCTCGGTCGCTCGATCGCTCTGCTCTTCAGAAGCCGCGGGTTGTAGCCAGCGTAAAACAAGTTCAACCCCAGTGTGAGCAGCCAAAGCCACGACCACACTCCCGGCTTAGCAACTTGTCGCTGGAACTCTTCCGAACGATCTCCCACGCGCCTGGCATGCTCCTCCGCGGGGCGGGTGACAATCGGCAAAGGAGTAGATCACGTCCAGCCTCCCAATCCGATATTGCGCTGGCCCAGCCCCGAATCAAACCGTCTGCGACGGAACCCAACGAAACCCTACCACTCGACGCGTCCTGCTGCAGAGACACGCCGAAGTCACGGAGGTTCTGGCCTGCCCACGCCGCCGCTGCAACCGCCGCCGGGCGCGCTGCCGAGGCCGAGCCCCCCGCAGAGGCACTGCAGCAGCGAAAAACCGGGGCCGGTTTTGGCCCCTGGACCCCCCCCCGGAGCGAGAAACCGGGGCCGGTTCTCTGTCTGCGGAGGGGGGGGGCGCCGCCGCCACGAGCGCGGCCCTCACCGAGACGCCCAAAGAGGTCGGTGCCCCCCTTGGGGACGGCCTCCCGGGCGGCCACCGGCTGCGCCCTTCGGGGCCCAGAAAGCCCGGGACGCTCCGCTCCTCTTGGGCTTCACGCCACGGCGCCTCTTCATGGCCGGCGGGCGCCCTGGGCCTCGACCTGCTGCCTCGGTGGCGGGGCGCGGCTGGTCGCGACGGCCCCCGACCACTGCGCTCGGCGGGGCCTGTGCTGGAACGCCCGCATCGACCGGAGTCCCGCCACGGGGCGCCAGCGGCGGCGGACTGCGAGGGCCGCCAGTCGACGGCACCTGCGGCGGCGAGGGCGCTGGCTGGCCGCGTACGCGACCGTGCGGGGGTGGCCTCAAGGCCAGCGACCCGCCACAGTCGCCAGCCCCGCCGAGTCCCTGGCCGTGCCTCGCCTTGACCTTGGCGACCAATTCCTTGAACTTCCGATCCTCGTTCTCCTGCCGCGCGGCCACCTCTCTCTCGCGATCCATCAGGCTGGAGACCGCGCTGTCCCCAATTACCTCGAGGTGCCTTGCCACCGCCCAGCCCTCCTGGTGCGACGCCTCCACGGCACGGAACCTCTGGGCCAAGAGGTCCCTGGCCTCGCAGATGCGTCCGGACAGCACGTGGTCGATCGCGAGCGCAAGCGTCTTCGGCTCGCGCGTGTTCCGCAGCCCGCGGCCCCCCGAGGCTGGCAGGAGCACCGCCGTAAGGTACGTGTCCACGAGCGGCCTGAGGCCGTGGGGATCCTCGTCCCCGCCCATGCGGCCCAAATACGTCTGGATCTTCTTCAGGAACGCCGTCAGGAGCACGCCCGGCTGCCGTCGCGCGGTTTCTGCCGCGGGTTCCTGCGACGACCGCCGGGCCCGGCGAAAACTCGACCCCGAGCTAGATGACCCACGCGAACGGCTCCTCGAGCGCCTCCGCCGGCGCCCGCGCGACCTGTCGCGGGCCTTCCTGCCTTGCCTGCCGGCCCGCTCAATGGCCCTCTCGATCAAACGATCGTGGACCGACGTGGGCCCCTTCAGCTCCCTGATCTTCGCCTTCAGTTCCTCGGCGAGGCGCTCCCCCTCCTCGTCCTTCCTGCGCTCCTCACGGTCAGGCCCACCTGACCCAGCAGCCCCGGCGCCACCAGGGTCGATGGAGAAGTGGAGCCCCGAGGAAGCAGCCCACCGGCCACCAGCTTCCCCTGGAGCCTCGGGCCCGTGACCGGCCCGCCGTCTCACTGCCGCCAGCTTATCCCTGAGCTCAGCCACGCGTGCCATCGCCGGATCCCTGGGTGGACGGGCCGTGGCAGGACGACCCGTGGCCAAGGCCTCCCCGACGCGATGCCCCCCTGCATGGTCTGGGGCTGGCGGCTGCTCTTACCGCGCGTCCACGGCCTTCGGCTTCTTCGAAGGCGGGCCGTCCCGAGGATGGTCGGCGCTCCCGGCGTCGGCAGGCCAAAGCCGGAACTCGCCGCAATGGAGCGTGGCCGCAACAGCCGGGCCCAGCACCTTTCGGAGGTGGCGCTGCGGCAGCAATGCACGTACAGGGCGCCCTTCTTGACCAGCTTCCCCATCTCCTCCGTGAGAGCGGGGGAGCTGGCCTCCACGAAATCGACCTTGTAAAAAGGCTCTAGGGACTGGGCGGTACGCACCTACTCTGGCCAACGGCGCCTGCCATATGCGCTGAGCTCTACAGTGACGCTCCCAGCCGGGACCAACAGCTCGAGCAGAGCGGCCCTGCCCACTGTATAGATCAGCTCATCGTACTCGGCCGAGTCGACCTCCACGCCGACACCTGTGACTGTTTCGGGCTCGGGAGCCCGGCGCCCAGCTCCAAGCGCAGCGGCAGGCCTACTCCGCGGGGCCGAACCCGCGCCGTGCGCGCGAGGAGCCGGGGCTGCGGCCGGCTGGGCGCGCAACCGTGGCTGCCTTCGCCCTAACAACCAGCCGCGGGGCCCCCGCGGTGGCCGGCCTCCGCTTGGGCGCCATCGGGAGGGCCCGCGAGCCTCTCGGCCAGCACGCACTCGAGCAGATGAGCCAACCCGCGCAACGCCTCTATGGTGAGGCGGAAGTCGGCCGCTGACTGCGACCGGAATTGCCGCCAGAGCTCCCGAGACCAGGCGGGTAGGCGGGAGATGACCGCCAGCTGGCCGCGGCGCTCCTCCCTGGGACGCTTACGCTCCCTGGGCATGCGCGGCCCCGGCGGCCGCTGGGGGTCGCTGAGCTGGGGAGGCAATACCGCGCTCACCCAGCCCAACAAATACACCGAGAAGGCTGCACCGCACTTCCCAGAAGCACTGGGCCATCAAAACTACGGAAGCTGACGAAGCAGGGGAGGGTTCACACAATAATTCGGGGCGATGTCATATATATATATATATATATACATCTATACAAGCATACAAATGTATGTGTGCACCCACCTATATATATATATATATAAATATGTATATGTATATATATATATATGTAAATATATATAGATATAGACATGTGTATATACATATATATATATATATATATATATATATATATATATAGATAGATAGATAAATTCGCCGGCCCAACGGGCCAGGGCGTGCTAAGATCTCCGGTAACTGGTTAACAGTATTAACAGTATTTCTAGTTCGCGCGCGCGGGGCGGCCCCTGGGGGTCCCCCGGCGAAAAGTACCCCGACCAACGCCCGGTCGCCGCCCGACCGCCGCCCGACCGCCGCCCGACCAAGTCTACTCAGAGATGGTTTTCCTTCTGGGTGCGGCCTCTCAGGCTCCCCAGAGCGCGCTCAGAGTGCCCCAAGAGGCCCCCAAGACTGCCCAAGAGGCCCCCGAGACGCCCAAAGAGCGCTCGAAGACGCCGAAGATGACCCCAAGACGGCCCAAAAGGCCCCCAAGACAGCCCAAGAGGCCTCCAAGACGCCCCAAGAGCCTTCCAAGAGGCCTCCGAAGAGAGCCCCAAGAGGCCAAAATCGTTGATTTTCATTGTTTTTTTCTATGTTTTTTGTGTTCTGGCTTTTTCGGCTTCCGGACGCTCCAAGACGGCCCAAGAGGCCCCCAAGACCGCTCCAAGACGGCCCACGAAGCTCCCAAGACGGCGCCGAAACGACCCAAGAGAGCCCTCAAGACGGCCCAAGTGCCGCCCAAGACGGACCAAGAGGCCCCAAGACGGGCCCAAGAGGGACTCAGGAGGGATACCGAGAACTCAAAAATGGAGCCCTCCGTCCCAGAAGGCGCCCAGGAGGTCCCAAAGAGGCCCCAAGAGGCCTCCAAGAGGCCCCAAGATGTCGCCAAGAGGCCCCAGGAGACTCCCAGGAGGCCCAAAAGAAGCCCCAGAAGGCTTCAAACATGTCTCCCAGGCGCCCCCGAACGGCCTCTCAACAGACCCCAAGAGGCCCCCCAAAGAAGCATCTTGACGACGACTCTATTTCGCCCCATCGAGAGACGACCCCCAGGGAACTGCTTCACCATCAAAACTCCCCACGCAACGCGTCCGAACGACACCCGCCCCCAAGAGCGCAACATGGGCAACGAACACACAGACAAAAACCAGCGATGCCATATCACGGGCCGGCGGAATGAGCGAAGCGATTCAATATATATATATATAGATAGATAGATAGATAGATAGATAGATAGATAGATAGATAGATATATAGATAGATAGATAGATATAGATAGATAGATAGATAGATATATAGATAGATAGATAGATAGATATATAGATATCTATATATATATAAATATATATGTGTGTATATAGATATATAGATAGACATATAGATAGATAGATAGATGGATGGATGGATAGATATGTATCGGTCGGTAGATCGATAGATAGGCGTATATAGATAGATATATAGATAGATATATATATATATATCGATATACATATAGATAGATATATAGATAGATAGATAGACATATGTATATATATACACCTACATATAGATATAGACATACATATATATATACATATCTCGATATATAGACATATAAATATATAGAGAGAGATATACCTATATATATATATAGATAGGTCGAGAGATAGATTGATTGATTGATATATAGACGGATAGATAGATAGATTTTGGGGGGGCAGGGGCCCCAGACGGAATCCATACCCATCGCCTCCCGATGTCCAGGAAAATCGCTCCCCTGGGCAGTGCACATGCGACCCACTCCAGAAACCCTGGATCCCAGAATGCGAACGCCTCGCTCCTGCTTCCTCCGCCTTCCACGGGCCCTCCGCCAGCTTCCGCCCGCGGACCCGCCGTCGCTTCACTTCCGCCGGCTCCCGCCGGCCTCCCGTCGAAAGGCGAGACGAGCCGAAGACGAAACCCTTTCTGGAACGCGCGCGCGTCAACCCCAGCCTCGGGCTCCCACCCCCGGGTCGGCGGGGCGCGCTTGTCACGCGGGTGCCCCGCGCCGAGTGGAACGCTGGCTCGGAGCAACTCACGGCGCGGGGGGGGGTCGCCCCGCCTGACCCTCTCCCGCCTCTGCCTCTGCCCCTGCCTCTGCCTCGGCCTCGGGGGGGGGAGAAGAGCGAAATGGGTTGTCGATGGGATTAGGCGTGAAGGGAACTCTGTCCTACCCTGCACAGATCAGCACTGGCCTCGAGCCCCGACGAGTCAATCAGGTCAGGACCCGAAGTCGGACTCTCGTGCGCCGCCCGCTGCCGAGCCGAGGCCCTTGCCCACCCCAGGGGGCCCAAAAGAGGATCCATAGAGGGCCCGAGAGGGCCCTGGGATGAAGGAGGAGGGAGGGAGGGAGGCGGCAGGGAGGGCGGAGGCAGAAGTGAAGAAGGGGTTCAGCAGCAGCCTCTGTCTCGCCATCCATATCTGCCTCCCCATCTCTTGCTCTCTCTTTCCCTGTCTCTCTGTCGTCCCCTCTCTCTATCTCTCTATCTCGCTGTGTCTTTCTCTCTCTCTCTCTCACTCGTGTGTTTTGTTGTTTTTCTCTCTCTCTCTCTATCTTCTCTCTCTCTCTCTCGCGCTCTCTCTCTCTCTCTCTCCCTTGCCCCCAATCCCTCGATCCCTCCATGCCCCCCTCTTCTGCACTCAATCCCTCTGGCCATCAATCCCTCCTTCCTTCCCTCCCACCCTCCCATTCCTCTCTTCGTCGCCGTCGTATGTTTATATGTCAGTTGTTTTTTTTTCTCTCTCTCTCTCTCTCTCTCTCTTTCTCTGTCTCTCTGTCTCACTACATGTATCTATTCATATGAGCATATACATATGTATATATGTATATATATATACATATGTCTATAAGCACCCCTCCGTTCCTCCATCCCTCGACATCTCTCCATGCTCTCTCTCTCTCTCTCTTCTTTGCCTCTATCTCTCTCACGCTCTCTCTCTCTCTCTCTGTTCTCTCTCTTTCTCTCTCATACTATATACATACATATGTATGCGTCCGCCTCCTGGAGACTTTGCCTGCCTATTGGCTTCTTCATGCGGCGTAAACAAATCAGAGTTGCTGGGTGGCAAGGTGCGGAGCGATCGGGACAGCACGTCCACTCCAGGCACCCGAACCTCCTGCTCCTCCTCCTCCTCCTGCTGCTGCTGCTCCTCCCTCCTCCTCCCTCGTCCTCCCTCCTCCTCCTCCCTCCTCCCTCCTCCTCCTCCCTCCTCCTCCTCCTCCCTCCTCCTCCTCCTCCTGCTGCTGCTTCTGCTCCTCGTCCCGCTCATCCTCTCGAGCGGGGCGGGGCGGGGCGGGTGGCGGTGGGTCTGCGCGCCGCGAGCATCGGGCTGGCGAGGTCGGTGCAGTACTCCGAGTTTACCGTGGGTACGACCCTGCCCGGGGGCCGGGGGCAGCCTGGCCCCGCCCGGCCGAGGGCACGGGGGGGCCGGAGGAAAGGGCAGCGAAGGAGGGAGGAGAAAGGGCCGAGGAGGAGCGAACGTCGCTGCCGCGAGACGCAGCACGCAACACGCAGCCTGTTGACACGGAGCTCAGCACGCAGGCTGAAAACGCAGGTCTGGCGCGATACGTTCGCCAAGACGTGGACCAGCACGTGCCGAGCCGACACGCAGCGTGATGGCACAGACGTTTTGAACACGGCACGTGCTGCGTTTCAGAACGGGCGTCTCAGGGCAGCTAAGCGAGGAAAGGGTCTTTTCTTAGAGGGGGGAATCCCCAATCGAAGCTGGGGGCTCCCTCCCTCTTGGTCTGGTTGGGACAGCATTTTCCCCAGAAAAGACTGGCGGCGACGTCGTCGTCAGCCCCCCCCAGTCGACGAGACGTCGTCGTTGTCAGCGAGGCCGTGGTCGCTGTCGAGGCCGTGGTCGCTGTCGAGGTCGTGGTCGAGTCTCGTGGTCGCTGTCGACGTCGTGGTCGACGTCGAGGTCGACATCGTTCGACGTCGAGGAAGGACAGGGCGAGGGTGGAGCCCAGGTCGGTGGAGGTAGGGCAGGAGGGCTCGAGGAGGGAGGGCGAGGGAAAAGCACGGGGCTGGCGAAGCGCAGAAGGGGCCAGGGCCAGCAGAATTAGAGAGTCGGAAAGACAAGCAGACGGCGAAAGAGGACGACGACAACGACGAGAAAGAGAAGGATGAGGAAGATAAGAACAGATGGAGAAGAAGAGAAAGAAAGAAGGGATGAGGGCGAAGTGAGGGAGGAGGACGAGGAGGGAGAGGAGGAAGCACTGGGAAGCCGCGTGGGAAGCCGCGGCGACCTGAAGATCTCGGGGTGCTTGATGCTGCTCTCGCAGAGGGTCTGGTTCGTGCAATGCACGCGGACCTGGCAAAGCGTCCAGCCGCCAGGCGGCACGGGGATGCCCTCGGCCCCCGAGGGTCGAGGGGGCGATGCGCTTCGCTGTCCCATGCTTCGGCTGTAGCTGCAAGCTTTGGGTACAGGAGGGAGACCGGCGCCGAGGCAAGCGCGCCTTTTCGCAACGACCGAAGGCTCTCCGAGCGGGAAGACCAAGACATACGAAGAAGACGGGTGGGCACATCGCGGGAGAAAACCGTCTGCGGGAGCGGCGGTAGAAAATTATCAGAAAACTGGCACGACTTCTGGGCGAGAGGGCGGTAGGGCTCACAGTGGTACCGAATCGCTGCAGACATGCAACCGCTCGCGCACTTCGCGCGCGCCCAGGTGCTAGCGCAGGACGGGGCAGCGCCTCGAACCACGGACAGACCAAAAAGAGCACATCCCATAGCGGTTCATCACGGGAGGATGCGCCCAACTGGACGACGCCGCGCCCCTTGTCCTCGACGCGCCCAACTGGACGACGCCGCCCCCACGGCAGCAAACCCACAGCAGACCCTGCGTCCCAGGGCGGCGCTTGCCCTGGTGGCCGCGGCGCCCTCCCCGAGACGCAAGGTCGCGCGTCGGAGCAAGCGGCGCGGCGACGTGTGGGAACGTGGCGGCCAGAATAGCACGAAGTACGCTCGCAGACGCTGCTTCAGAGGGCGGAAGGCTGGGTGGAGGAAGAGGCGGAGCAGCAGCAGCCCGCCCGGCACGGCTGTCAGAGGCCAGGGGCAGGAACGGAAGAGAGAGGAGGCGGGGGTCGAAGCCCAAGCACCAGGCCTCGCTAGGGCAAATCGCCCCATCCATCTCTTCATCCCCGTCTTTCTCTTGCCCCTCCATCTGTTCTCTTAGGGAGCGCGATCCACCGTCGCTGGCCTGACAAAAATTAGAGAAGGGGGGGTCACGAAGCCGAGGGACCATCCCGAACCTCCCCCCCCCAGCAAAGAACCCGAGGGGGCCCGGAATCCCCCGGGACAGTTGCTCAACGGGGGGGGGTCCAGAAACACCTCCCCCATGCCCCACCCCAGGGAAAATTATTCGGAGGGTTCAGAACACCCCCCCCTCCTGGTAACGACGACGACGACGACGATAACGACGACAACGACGACAACGACGACAACGACGACAACGACGACGACGCCGACGCCGACAACGTCAGCGGCGGCGGCAGCGCACCTGTCGCTGGCGCCCGCGCCAGGCGCGGGCTTTGATAGAATGCGCTACGGCTCGATCCAGCTCCCTCAGAATCCTACTAAGGCTCGACCCAATTCAAGTAAAATCCGACGACCTGGGCCGAATCCAGCTCTCATGAAGTCCTTGTGCGATCAAGCTTCAATACCATTCCACAGCGGTCCAACTTTCTATAATACTAGCCTGGCTCGATCCAACTCTATTGGATCCAGCTCTAACGGAATCCTGCTAGGGCTCTACCCAGCTTTCCTACATTCCGATTAGGGTTGGATCTAGTTCGAATCGAATCCTACGGGGGCTCCGTTCATATCTAAAAGAATCCTACTGACGCGCCGAACAGTGCCCTTGCTGAACAATCGAACGCCTACAGTGAAACGACATAAATACCGACTGACTGGCTGAATAAGGCACTGAATACGCGCACTACTCTCGAAGGCTCTCACGCGGCGCTCTCCTCGTCCCCCCTGGGAGCGTCGCATCCGATGCTTCCGACTGGCTTCAAACAGCTGCAGAAAGTGGACCAGAATGGGAAAGATCCTGTGTTGCGGCAGATACCCACTGTGGTGCGTGCAGCACGCAGCCACGAGAGTAGTCGTAGCGGGAGGAGGGTCAGGAGCCGGAGGTAAGCCGAGTGGGCCGGCACGGAGACGATAGAGGGAGGAAAAACAGCATCAACACAAACATTCGGAGGTCCGCGCGGATTTCTCGTGTCGGCGCTGGACCCCCCTCCCTGGCGCGCGGTGCGCGCCAGGGGCGGCGCCGGAGGCGCCGCCAGGGGGCCCAGCGCCGATCCAAGAGGGAAATCTCGTGCGCGAGGGTGAACCCCCAGCCTGGGGATGCATGCATCTTGGGCGTAGGACTGGCAGGCGCCCGCTCGTGGGGCCAAGCCCCCCAGGCTGCCCTCGGTGCGGCACATGGTAAGGCGCTGGGGCCATGGAGGAGCTCCGACGCAATGAGACCAGCCATCTGCTCACAGCGCCACAGGATGCAATAGAGCTCCGATTCGGAAATGCTTGGCCCCACGAGCGAATCCTAACATGCTTGAACCCACCTATACAATGATATCATTCGGGGTCGATCCTGCTCTAAGAGATGTTCACTGGGGCCGGGTCCCGTTCTAATTTGAAGGAGTTTCTGTGGCACTCACGTCATCCTGACCCCCAGCGCGCGAGGAGGTCAGGCCCGACCGCGCCCCCAGGGACCATTTCCGGGGCGCGCGCCAGGGCGCGCCCGGCATGTCCCAGCAGGACTCTCGCTCGAGACACCCTACCCCCTGGTTTTGGGCGGGGGGGGGGCTGGCCCTCCCCCCCATGCAAGCAGCGGTAGAAAGCGCTCTTTCACTTCTCCTGATCCTCAGTCCTCCTCCTCCCCCTCCTCCTTCTCCTCCTCCTCATCCTCCTCATCCTCCTCGTTTGCTTCTCGTCTCCTCCGCCTCGCTGTCCTCCTGGCTCCCCATCCTTCATGCGCCGAATGTGTCGAGCTCCAAGTGCTGATCTACTTCCCTTCCCTACTCGTCCGTCGCCTCCTCCTCCTCTTACCCCGCCCTCCCTCGGCCTCCTCTTTCCTCCTCATCCTCTCCGTTCTTACCACAATCCTCACGAGCAGCAGCAGCAGCAGCAACCTCAACCCTCCTCCGCTTCCCCACTTCCTCCTCGCACCCCAAGGGCAAAGGAGAAGGACGAGTCCCGTGAACCAGGCCAGCTTGGAATATGGGCGTTTCCTGGGGCCCTTCGTGGAGTCTCTTGGGACTGTCTCGGGGCTCCCTCTTGGAGCATCTTGGGAGCCTCTTGGGAACATTGGGGGACCTAATGGGGCATGCATTGGGTCGTCTCGGCACTCCTGGGGGCTCTCTATGGGGCCCCTCTTGGGCCGCCTTGGCGCTCTCTGTGGCCGTTCTGGGCTAACTTGTGGACTCCCTTTTTGTCTGGACATCGATACCTCTCGATATCATTGAAGATTGCCCGCCTGCGACATCGGATGACACATCCCTGTAACGCAAGCTCGGAATGCAGAGTGCGGCCAGCGATTAAGGTCCCGACCACCTCCACAACTCGCGAAAATTGCGCAGCCAACTGAACCACCCGCCCGATGCGCACAAGTTGGGCACTTGCCTCTGTGATGTTGCAGGCTGCCCCATGTAAACACAAGCTAGCGTGCATATCGGGGGGCAGAAAAGACAGTCACTGCACTGAGAAAAACATGCACAATCGAATACCAGCATACACTACAGGGCCACCGCCAAGAGCATCGTGCCTGGAACAGTTGGCACGCGTCTGGAAGTGTGTCCCCTGCGGCTCTGCATCATAGTGTAACTCCAACACATATGGGCCTGTGACAACGTGTAGCAGGCCGCATCTGAAAAACTACAGCCCCAACCAACAAATGTCATTGACTCGTCGAGGAGACCTGCCATCTAGCCGCATCGCCTACTGACCCAGGGAGGTTGCACCCATTCCGTGACGTCCTCGTCCTTTCCAGGATCGGGAAGGCAAGGCACTCAGGATGGCACCTGGCGCCTGCTCGTCGCGTCGCTGCCGAGCCTCAGACTGCATCTGCCATTCGCTGGCAGCGTCATGGCTTGCTGGAGCCACCGAGCGCCTGGCCTGCCGCATCTTCCTTCTGCGGGCGGCCGCCGAACCTGCGGCTCCACCACCCGCTGAGGCGCTGCGTGCTCTCGAGAGGCTGGCGGAACAGCTCCCGGGCCGAGGCCTGGAGGCCGCCGCCGTGCACACTGCGGCCCGTGACGACTGCGAACCCCGTCGAGCCCAGCGCGGCGTCGAGCTTCCGGGCAGCCCCGGGCAGGCCGAGGTCCACCACGTCGATCCTCGAGGCCATCGTGCCGCGCCGCACGCCGCCCAGTGCGCGCGGGGCGCGCGCGCCAAGGGCGGCTCCCGGTACGCCCGAGAGGCTGCTCCCGCGCGCCAACAGCCGGGTCTGGCAGGAGAGCGCCATCGGCGGACGGCGCGGCACAAGGGGGTGGCTCGAGGGGCGCGGGGCCTTCTGAGGTCGCGGGGAGCTTCTTGGAGGCCAGGGGCCTCCTCGGAAGGGCCCTGGAGCCTCCTAAGAAGCCTCCTGAGCAGCTGGCCGGGCTTCTGAGAACCCTCCTGGCCTTCTCAGAATCCCCCCCCTCGCCTTCTTGGCAGGCCACCGCCCTCGCGCCACCCCCATGTGCGCGCCGCCGTATCGGGCCGTGTGGGCCGCGAGCTCCTGCGGTCGGGCTGTGGGCGGGCGCTCCTGGGCTTGAGCCGAAACGGCTGCGTACGGGTCCCCTCCTGCCGGCGGCGAGCCCGGGGGGGGAGGCAGAAGGAGCAGGGCTCTTCAGAAGACCGCGGGGCTTCCCGGAAGCCCACTGGCTTTCTGAGAGGTCTGTTCAGTCTTCGGGGAGGCTCAGATCACTTCTCACGAGGCTGGAGGCATTCCGAGCCTTCTGAGAAGGCCCGCCCCCTCTCACTTCCCCCTGCTGGGCGCGAGGGCGCCTGGTGGGACGTTCTGGGCCTTTCTGGGAGGCCTCTTTCTGGGTGTGTCGTCGGCGGCCGTGCGTCCCACGGAGCTCGAAGCCATGCGAAGTCGCCGCCGTCGTCGTCGTCGTCGTCGTCAAGGAAAACGTGAGATGTCAGAAGCACTGGCTTTCTTGTGATCTCGCCCCCCTGGGGCGTCTCTGGCGACCTCGGGGGGAGCCACCGTGGAGCCCCCTGTGCGCTTCGTGACGCCTCTCGGGGTGCGTCGGATCATCCCGTGGGTCTCCTGGGCCCTCGTGGAGCCCGCTCGGCGCCCCCGCGAAGCATGAGTGCGCGTGCCCTGAGGCCGAGAGAGCCCTCCAGAGGCCCCCCAGGCAGCCACGAGACCCCCTGGGCGGAAATGCGGTGCAGGGAGAGAACTGGATCTTGGGAGCTCGGAAGGACGTGACGGTGGAGCAGGGGCAGAGGAGGGACTGCCGAGGAAACCCCACCGCCAATGGGCCCACGAA